GCGGATATTGCATTTTCGTAGGATCTCCGAGTCCTATTCAACGCTTCGAGCCCTCTCTCTCTCTCTCTCTCTCTCTCTCTCTCTACCTTCCCTTCCTCCCCTCCCCCGCTGCAGGCGCTCTCGCCGGCACCCTCTCGCCGCCCCGCGGCTCCCCCGCGCCCCGCCGCCCGTCCACCACCCGCCCGCCCCCGCCGCCCCCATCGCTCCATCCGCCCACGCTTGCCCGCCTTCCTTACAACGCCACACCGCCCCCACCCAAACCCACCAATCCCGCCGTTCCACACCCCAACCCGCCCGTTGGTCCTCGCGTGCCCTTAACCGACTCACTAACCTCTCCGACCCCGCCAACGCCCGTCGGCCCTGCAGACCCAGCGCTCTACGGCTCCCCTTCACCGCACGCCTTCCCTCGCCGACATCCTCGAATCGCTCGCCTCTCTCCCACCGCCGCACGCCCCACCCTTCCCACATCCTTCCCCCCACCGCACCAACCCCATTCGCCCCCGGCGCCCGGCAAGCCCGGCCGTGGGGAGGCCGCGCACGTTCGCCGGAGCCCCGAGCTCTGCGGGCGGAGAGCGGCGGGCAGCGAGCGCTGTCGTTTTGCCTGCAGCGCTCACGTGAGCCGCATGGGCAAGGAGCGCGTGCGGCGCATGGCGACGGGCGCAATTGCAAACGAACGTCTGATACCGCCCTCCTGCGCCAGGGGTGGCCGTGCAGTCTACGCGCGAATGCCAGGGGCCTCTGCCTCCTGCACTATCAGACACTAGCGCCAGGACGGTATCATGAGATGATTACACAGGTCCACACAAAACAAGTTAACACATCCAAAGAGTTGACACTTTTTCTACATATTTCAACGCGCTTATTCCGAATCGGAAGTCAGAATTCAGGCAACCATAACTCATCCGTTTTTAAACGGCAAGAAACCATCGCGACTTTGTATTTTTTGTTTTCGGAGGTTGTTGTCTGACCCCAAGATTTGATACATGTCTTGTCTATGTATGTCGACGTGCTGAAACCGAAACTAAAGCCAAATGTGTGCCACCACCCAACAGTTTTTTTTCTAAATTGCAAAAAATCACTCGCAAATTCACAATTTCATGACGTTTTTTCGCGATTTCAAGGAGAACAATTTTCAAACAATTTTTTTGGAGATACTGGAACCGAATAATACTTTTGGTATGTTTTGTTATTTTTAGATAAATAAAAGACATTTTACTTAATGAAAAGTAAGAAAAATTCCTCACAAAATTTCAATATACCTGTCAAAGCAATTAAAATGATTTATTTAGAATGTCAGTTTTGCAATGAAATGTTTGTGGTTATTTTAGTCTGGGAGTTTTTTTTTAAGTTTTCGTCACTTCATTCTTATATATATGATATTAAATATATACTAAACTCAATAGTAGCGATACCCTGTGTAGAACTTACATGCATGGACGTTCATGCATTGCTACTTACGTCTCAATTGTTCGTTGGTAAGCATTATTCAGAGCGTTTCTTCATTTACCCAGATGAAGTTTTCTTCGCACAAGTCACGTTGCAGAAATTCGTGACAGATATATTATATCAGTCATTTATCGTTATTTGTGGTAAGTAAAATATTTACGGAACCTATTGTATCCCTAAATATAACAAAAAATACTCTCAGACACACAACGGGTAAACATAACGTATATGCGTTGACTATTGTGTAAATACAGTATTGGAAATTCCAGGCAGCGCCGAACTCAACTATGAAGCTAATAGTTTCTTATTGTGAGTCATGTCTTAAGGAAAACAAATGAAATACAGGATGAATATGTATTTCTGAAAGATTAGCATATTTCTGAACGATACTTTTCACTAATGGATTCAAGTAGTTTCAGTAACATCGAGATGGTGGGGAAAAATGTGTACCCTTTATGTTCCCTCATACATAGCAAAAAGATCAAAATTGAAAAGTGCCACCTGACATACCTTCCGCAAACGTAGAAGTTCCTCGATCCAGGGCATTTGGTCTTTCTAATACGCCGGTGACATTTTTATATCTCCGTTAATTATCTTTAAGTACAGAGCTTTTCAAGTTACGGAAGTTCTTTAGTTTTACAAGCGGAACTTTATGCCTAATATCCATATCTCTTCCATCTTCATTAATTCTGTTTGCAAATTGGAAAGAGAAGTCGCGGGCGTTTGCTTTAGCGTCACAAGGTTGCTTTGCTCATTGCCTCCTTAGATTGCCACCTCGCAAAGAAAAGAGCTGAGGAAGAGGAAAAGAAGTGAGAGAGGGAAGAGAGTCAAAGTTTCAGGACATTGTCACTGAGATATTCGATCAGATACTTTTGCTATCAGTTGTAAATAAAATCTTCACTGAAACCAAGTTAAGCAAAAAATGCTTTCATACGCACAACGGATAAGCATAACGAAAATAAATTGGTCGCCTTCGAAAAGCGGAAAGCTAAATTTCCGCCAGCGCCGACAACAACCAAGGAGCTCACACTTTTCCCTAATATCCATATCGCTTACATCTTAATTAATTCAGGTTGTAAATTGGAAAGAGAGGTCGCCGGCGTCACCAGACTGTTTTGCTCAGTGCCTGCTTTCATCAACCCTTAGCGAGGAAAGAGCAGGGAAAGAGGAAAAGAAGTGGGAGGGGGAGAAGCGCCTGCCAACGAAGTTTTGGCCGTGCGGCGAGAGGCCATCTGCCCAACGCCGCCATCCCCACTCCCACCCCAACAACCCAGTCTCCAGCCCCGCTTTCGCCCCCTCCTCTCTTCCGCCACCGTCCCCTCTCCGTCCTTGCTCTGCACGTACTCTGCCTGTCTTCGTCCTCTCTATTACCACCCGTGCTTTCTGCTTGTACACTGTGAATCTATGAATGGCAATGACAGCTTTGGCAGGAAGTTTCAGTGGAGTCCCTGTCGGAGAAGGGCTAGAGAAAATAGAGCGAAGAGACTCGCCCTGTTGCGAAGGAATCTTGTGTGTCATCGAAACAACTACTTGACATCCTGCATACTTATCTCTTACGAAAAAAAGAAGGGTAATTTTTCCCAATTAAATTTTATGCTAACAACTAAAGATTTTTTCTAACGGTTGCGGGGAATTGATCTATAAATATTTGAGAGTAGTACATCTTTTAAAATTTTAATGGTTTGAAAATTTTATCTAGTCACAACAATAAGGGGATAGAAAACGATTTAATTACAGTAGCTTAATTAAACATTGAAAATTCAAGTTCCTTAATTAAAAAGGAAATTAAGGACATGCTGGTCGACGTATCGAAGTATTTTCCATCCTCTGGTGAAACTACCTGATATCGAACGTGAAATCAACAAGTTTTATTTTTTTCATTCACAACCTATTTATTACACATTTGTTTTATTTATTTAGTGGTATAACCTGACTTTGTAGGAAAGAGTTTCATCGCGAAATTACCAAGAAAAAACATTGTATTTGATGATCTCGTGAAATTGCTCTAGAATCATTTTAAACCTAATATTATTTATACAACTGAGAGAATTTAAGAATGAGATTCATTTAATTTATTTCAATGACGTGATGGGGTGTAGTGAAATATACTACATACACTAAAATATACGTAGTAGGTAATTCATGAAGTCGATTCATAACATCTTTACATCATATCTGACACTAATGCGAGATGCATCGAAAGTTGCGTGTTGAAATGGAAATAATATTGATAAAGACGATACCAAGCTTTCCTGGGATTCAATATGGAGATTTAAATGGAACTTTCGCCCTGTCATTAGAAGAAAAAATGCGAACGTGTACACACAAACCGAATCCGTCTTGAAATTGTTTTGTTTTCTCCAGAAAGATTAACAATCAGAAACAATGTAAGCACTGCGAGGGGGAGAGAGCAAAATTCATTCGATGAGCAGGATGCGGCGATGGGCAGAAACGGGAGTAGCGTTGATTTCAAACTTGTACATAACTCATAATAATCTTGAACATACAAAGAAATATTACCCATAATTCTGTTGAACGTTTCTTCAAGTTTATTGCGATGCTTTGCATCACAGAAACCAAGCAATGAAACATGTACTCTACTATAGCATTCATCATCTCACTTTCATGCAACTCTGGAAGCGGGCGTCCGTACTAACGGACAAACGTGCTTTCTGCTGAAATCTAGTTACGCCATTTGCATAATTCCAACGACATTGCATTACATGCGACAGAGATTAATGGAATAGACTGAAGGTGGGTAAAGTATAGTAACCATGTATAACATCGTTGTTTGGAGCAGGATTACATGCAGCAATTTAAGGCTTATGCTCACCGCTCATGTCTGTTTTCCCGTTTCCCTTAAATGTCGTTCCACTGTTTATGCTGTATACTTTGCCCAGCCTTTCGCAATTTTCTATAGTTAAAGCATAGAGGAAAGAAGATATTAAATCGTTTATCTATGCTGAAAGCCAATGTTGACGTGTGTATTTGCAGGTTCCTGAGTTTATTAAAAGATGATATTAATTCTCGGGCTTAATTCTTTCTATATTATGTCTTCTTTTACATCAAACGGAGGAGTAGTTGGAGGGAAAGTTCATTAATTACATTGAAAATTTGAGCAATCTTTCACTAATATTTGGTAAAATAAATAAGCTTATATTATTAACTTAGAAGTACAATAGTGTCTTTTTCCAAACAATGACTTGTTATAAACACTCCTAGAGACTATTGCAGTCTTAGTTGAAGTCGTGGTGACCGTTACACGTACTTAGGTCAACAAAACGCTTTTAGATCGGATTACAATCATCACCAGTGCAATATTGTGGCGTCTGAAGATCAGACAGATAAACCCCAAATAGATTAAAAATCTTCCCTTGATAGAGGAATCAAGTGGGTGAAGTGACGGACGATGGAGGGGGATGGCTGGAGGAGGGGGTCGATGAGAGGAGAGGCGGCTGAGAAAGTGTATGGAGAGGGGGGTATGAGAGAGAGAGAGAGGAAGGCTTGATAGGTGAAGGGGTCCGAGGGAGGAGGAGGCCCTTAGGAAGAGTGAGATGGAGAGTGGAAGAGGAAGAAGAAAAAGAGAAGTGGATGAAGAGAGTGGGAAGGGTGGGTACAAACAGAGGAGAGAGAATAGACAGAGGTCGACGGACAGGGAGGGAGAAAGGACGAATAGGAGAAAAAAGGGAGGCGGAGAATATCTGGGTCTAAAGGTCTGTGGAGAAAGGGGGGGCGGGAAGGGAGAGGGAGCTGTAGAGGAGACGAACTGGAAGAGAGATGGATGCACAGAGCGAGAGGGTGGGAGAGAGAGGAGGACCGACAGAGAAGGAGAGGGGGTAGACAGTGAGGCCGACGGTGAGAGAGGGAGAAAGGTGGGACAGGGGGAAAGGGGAATACTTGAGTCTAAACGACCACGGCGAGAGGAGGAAAGGCAGTGGGAGCTGTAGAGGGGACAAAGAGAAAGAGAGATGGAATGGGATAGCAGAAGGGATGGGAGAGGGAGGGGGGCCGGCAGAGTGGGAGAGGGAGAAGGGAAGGACAGAGAGAAAAGGGGGAACGGAGAATACCTGGATCTAAATGGCCAATAGGCGGGAGTCGTGTCGCGTGGAATGCGGGCGTTGAATTAGGACTTGCGGGCGGCCATTCATCACGAGCTCCGCAGGTGCGAACAATGCTCTCGTTGGAGGATCGGCGGAGCAGCAGAGCCCGCACGAGAGTGCACATTCCTGCGCGCGGTGCCGCAGTGCTAATGATATACGGCGGCGTCTCGGGAATTGGGAAATGATTTAAACAACACTTTATGGTTTTTGAAAAGTTCGAAGCGAAAAGTTCAAAATTTTTAAATTAACTAAAGTAAAATAGCTTCAAATAAATGAACAATAAAAATAAAAGTGTTAGCGTACTACGTGAATTAATTTAAAACAGCAATCAAATTTCAAATTATTGAAAGAATAGTAAGTCACTCGACAACTGTCAACGATCACAACCCAGACGCATGATTTAAAGGTTGGAGGTATCTGGAAGTCTGTGCATCAATGCTCGGCTGTAAACTCATATTGTAAAACAATACACCGTTTGATATTAAACTTAGGTGTCGGTTCGTTAAGATATTCAATATATAAACATCGTTTGAGCAACATTCTCATGTACCGAAGTGAAGTCTAAGCCTACTTAATTGTTTTAAATAGTATCAAATTGTATTTATTACTCAAAGGTCTAATATTAGTTTTATTGCTTTTTGCACCCCACCAAGCTGGCGCCCTGCTCCTCCAAAACCACCACAGTTCCTCATATCAAATTAAGGAAAGTTAAATAATATTGCAAAGTATAGAGTTGTACTTGCGCGACCTGTATTTTTGCATGGAAAATTTTACTTGTCTTTCTCAAAAGTAAAATCATTTTCTAATATTTTGTGACTATCAAGGCATGCGAAAAACTAATTGTCAAGGAAGGTTAAAACGGATACGAACATAAAATTCATCCCCTCACAGTAATATACATTATTTATGGGCAGAAACTGTATTAATTCAAAATTTTAAAAACAATTTATAGTGTTTACGGATTTCAATAAAGATATTTTCCGTGATTCCTATCCCATTTCATGTTTCCTTGCGGCTGGACCGTTAGTATTTGAAGCACGCTCACGAAAACGTCTCGGCGATAGCGTGGTGAAAGTGGAAATGTTGCTGCGGGGGAGGTGGAAGGTCTTGAAACAAGGTAGAGCGGACCCGTCAGAAGCTTTCAGGGGGCCTTGCTGCAGCCAAGATAAATGGCCCGCAAGGGACCTCCGCATATCACAGCTGGGGTTAGGTTGACGTTTTTCTTTTTTTCTCAGAATGCCAGCATTAGGCTCTTGCAACGACATTCACTGGACATTAAATTCTATAGTCGTTCATTACAATATAAACAAGTCTAAAATGCATTTCGCTAATCGCAAAATTAATACAAAGGTATTGATTGTTTTAACCGAGCACAAATGTCTCAACTGTGAAATGGTATGTTCTTTCAATATCTAATTAATTGATTAATTGATTATTAGTGATTAAAGGGGAGTCAACTGATGAGGTCATTGGTCCCGTAAGCGTAATGCATATCTTTTCCTCGGGAAGTGGCGGTGATCTTGCCCAGATGGATGGCGAGATCCGGCCCCGAATTACTATCGGCTAGCTGGGTTTTCTCCACCCAGGTGTCTCCCACGCCCGGGGCACTGCCCCATCCGGGACAAGCTCTAAGCTTCCAGCCTCCCGGCATGTGTGGTAGTGTAGGGCATGTATGTGTAAGGGTGTGTAAGGGGTAGGATAGGACAAGAAATGGGAAAGAAAGATCGCGCGCGGTCGGTGGACTGTTTGCTAGGGTACTGCTCCGACTTTCGCCTGGTGTTGATCGGAGAAATTACGGAAAACTACCGACCAGAGCAGCCGGACAGCAGAAATCTCCTCAGACAGCGACAAAATTGAACCTAGCGATCTGGACAATGTCGAAGGTGACATCAGCTTATTTCCTCAGCCACCACTCCCAATGTGTTCAATACAGTAAAATATACGTGTCAAAACCAGCTACAATATAATACAAACAATAACAATGATCCAAACTATTTTTGTACATTTGTTTTCCAGTTTTTATTCGTGTCGATGGATTGTGTGTATTTTTGAAGAACTCCAGAATTTCTTCTTCGACTCTCAACGGGGCAGAGACTTGAAGCAACAACCAAGAATGGAAGGAAGTTTCGCCTACGACATGGATTTTTACTATAAGATTATGGGGAGGTTGATCAGTAATATCTTCCACTATCTCAGCTGAATGCCGTACTATGTATAATCTTTCATCTGCCACTATCATTTACCCTATAATTCCTCATTCGGAGGAAAGCAAAGGCAAATCATTACTATAAACGTCCGCCGGGGCAAGAAGACGGCACCTAAAGGCGTATAGCCCCTTCACTTCCTACATTCATAGATGGGTTTGGAACTCATTGCACTTTAAAAAACATGATAAAATCTCCTCCCAAATATATTTGATGGTCGATATTGACATGAACAGAAACGAATCGTCGAATTGTTACAAAACAATCAAACCCGTGTGAAAGAAAAAATGCATGCATTTGAAAGAGGTACAAAGATATCTGGTATCGGCAGCACTCGGAAGTGTTCATTTTAAATAAGTGCACTTTTATGACCAGTATGACCAGTATGACAACAGGTTTTTCTTATCAACATGTCATGAAAAAGGGATAATGTATTACCCTGCAGAGTTTCTGCAATGTCGCATTCCTCTAGTTGGAGGATCGCGTGATGACCTTGCTCCTGCACGTACTGTGCCCAAAATGTCAAGTTATTTGTGGCACACGCACTCAAGCGTTCCCTTGCGTGTGAACACCGACGCAGGTCATGGACTCGGTCGCAAAGCTATCGTGACGTACATTATGCGCGTGACCTGCGCTCATTATTCAAGTATTTTATGACCCCGCTTCCCTTTCCTAACTTGTTTTCTTTATAGTTATCATCTTTAGGTTATTCAACACACAAGAAGTAGTAGGGACATTTAACATTCCTTTCATTGGAGTCCTTCATTGAGTCCATCAAATGATGAATATGAGAAGACCTTTAGTGTTCAAATCCAAACTTGACCGGGACAGGAGGCTCAGAGCAGCTGATGTTACTGTAATGTCTCTTTCCGGAGGTCCTAGGTTCGATTCCCGACTATGGAAAGATTTTCGACACTAGCTAGAGAGCTAGGACAATTTCTGTCGCTGTCCGGAGGAGATGTTTAGCTCTAGGTTGCTCTGATCGGTAGTTTTCAGTGGTTTCTTCGATAGATACCAGACGAATGCCGGAGTAGAACCCTAACAAATGGGCCACGAACCGCGTGCGATCTTTCCTTCCTCTTCCTTGTCCTATCCTCAGCTCTTACTTACACACACTTCCACTTACATGCACAGCACTACCACTCGTGCCGAGACCGGTCGGAAGCTTAGAGCTCGTTCCGACTGGGGCGGTGCCCCACTGACGGAAAACAAGGTTGGTGTAAACCTAGCAAGTCGACCGGTTGTTCGGTGCCGGATGTCACTATCCAGGGGAAGATCACCGCCACCTCCAGAGGAAAAACATGCAATAATGACCTTAGTAGTTGACGCGCCCGGAGTCATTTATGTATCAATAATTCAAACCAAACTGGCTGGGACAGTTGACCAGGAGGTCTTAGAACTCGAGTCCGGCCAGTGGAGAATTTTTGACACATAGATAGGTCGAATTCAGCAACTGTTTGAAGGAGAATTGTAGTAATCACTCTGATAGGTAGTTTGCTTTGGATTACTTGATCAATACCGGGCAAATTCCGGAGAATATCAAGAACAAACGGGCCACAGGCCGCGCGCGATCATCTCTTTATCATCGTTGCCCCTCCTCTGCCCGTGCACACACACTTACAAACACTACTCTCCCGCACCTGTCAGGAGCATAGAACTTGTGCTGGTTAAAGCTGTGCCCTACTGGAGGAGATACTGGGATGGAGAGCACCCTCCCCCCCCCCCACCGACGACGGAAAGACCGGCACCACTATCGCTTTTTAGCGGGCGAAAAACACCACAGTGATATAAAATGCACTGCTCCTTCGGGATTACTCTCAGTAGTTGACACGCCCGAGTCAATAAATTCATCAGTCCACGCTTCGACATACAAGTCGAAAAGATATTGCTTTATTCTTTTTTTTTTATTTTTAGCCCAAGTACATCCTTTGAGGGCAGAGGCCACGCACCTCTCAGTAGAGTCGGTTCATATAATAAGGAAAATAAAATATAACATGCATCAAAACACAGTAGAAAATGCATATATATATATGGTATCAAGTAAATAATACCTTACACACATATACTATCAGCATGTAAAAGTTCACTAATAAGTGAACGTGAAGTTCACAGTGAACGTTCACTAAGAAGTGTTGAACGTAGGTCTTTACTGTCAAACTTCAAAGGTGATTTCCGATCACGAGGTCATCTGTGCGACTTCCTCCGCGGCTGTCGCGCTGCAAGACATGGCATCTGCCGGTCGGCTTTCTGAACTTCTCCTCGGCCAAACTCAATCCGCCGGCTAATGCGATTGGCCGTCGGCGATTACAGTAATTAAGGCGCCGGAGAAGGCTGAGGAGGACGGGGCGAGGAGAGCAGGGTGTCGGGGGTGTGGGAGGGAGGAGGGAGGGGCGGATGGCGCAGGCGCGTAGAGAGTGACGAGAAGGGTTGGAGGGGGAGGCGCGCGATCTGGCAGCCTCCGGGCGTCAGTACGCTCTGGCGGCGACCGTGGGAGGTAGTGTCTATACTGCTTCGCTCCTGTCCTCTCGCAGGCTCCACCATGCGACCGCTGCTGTTGCAGCTGCTGGGATTGCTCTGCGTTGCAGGTGCTGTCTCAGGTGAGCGGATCTGCGTAAAGCGAACCGCTGCAATTCGAACTTGCAGTAGACCCAGGATGTTGATGAATCTGGTATTACGAATTTTAGAATCAAACCAATTGTTCTGAAAATAAATTATGTAGTCGTCATATATTTGTTATCATCTTGTCACCATGTCAAATCATCAACCTTGTCTCCTTTATCAAATATATAACAATAATAAACTTGGCTGTATTGGTAGCTCAGTGGTTAAAGCACCTAGCGCAAATCGCGTGACCAGGTTTGGATTTTTGGCCGAACATCTACAGTTTCAAATGAGTTGAAACATTTGCTGTAGTGTATAAATGTTTCTGTGTGTTAAATCGTGATGCATATTTCTTAATTTTTTTAAAATTTATTTCCTTTGAGTCTAAGTTCTCTGGGTAGAATCGTAAAACCCTCTGGTTCGTGATTATTTCTTTTAAAATATACTTCCGAGTCCAAAGTCAAAGGCGAAAATGCGATCGCCTTGGTTGCGTCTGCCTTGATAAACTCGTCAAGAAGAGGTGTTTAGGATCAAAGAGTATTTAGAGCAATAACGTTCTTGTAACGCAATATGTTTCTCTTCGATCCGCGATATGATTTCTATAAACGGTTGCTGCCCCGCCACTGGATAGCTGAATTCGTTTGTTTAAAGAAGAGCTGCGCGTTGACAGTGCTTTATCGCGATGGCGTGCAGAGCATATGCGTTTTCAGAGAGTAAATAAAACACGCATGCAAGATTCTATCTTCCTTCACATTTTCCAACATGATACCTTTTGAAATTCTAAAATAGTTACATTGGAATTTAAGTTATTAAGTGAATTTAATTTATTCGTTCGTGCGACTTTGTGTTGTTAATATTGAGTACATTTTGTAAAACCAGTAATATGAGATTCCATAAACATAATTTCGACGCATTCTTAAATATTTGTATGATATTAATATATTATACGAATCAAAGCGCCGTTTCAAAAACCAACTGGATTGCTGTTACATGAAATTATTTACACGGACAATTCGTGAAATTGAACATTGCAATGAATTATCCTCCCTCCCTCTAACTAGCTTTCTTCCCCAAACCAATGCACATATCTACCAAAAATAAGAAGATATACCACAATTTTACCCAGCCGTTTATGACAGACTTTTCCTCAGTGTTACTAGAAGCACTTGGCATAAGAACGTGGAGCAGCACGTATATTTCGCTTCATTGCTTTGCTCTCCATTTCCGACGCCTTCCGGCGCGCGCCGCGTCATTCCTTTACGCTGGTCGTGCGCAGCGTGCAACGGGCGTGTCGCCGCTGTTTAAAGGCGCGGCGCACGTGGCGGCGTGTGCGGACCGCTCACCGCAGTTGTTGACTTCGATGCCGCAACAGGAGTCGCCCTGCGGTGTACAACGGTCCTCGCCTTATCGCTTTGCGATTTTACTCTACGATACTGCTTTTGTAAAGGGAAATTTTTTATGAGTTTGCTTCCCAAGTGATGGGACGCATGTTTGATTTATATTGAAAAGTATATTTCTAATACAAAAATTGAATTCAAAAGTTTTTTTTCATTATTTTTGTGTTTATTTATTTTCAATATGATCAGCAGCTGATTGCTGATTTAAATTATTTTGTTGACATGTTTAGCTATTATCCATACTCTTTAATGATGAACGTAATTATTAAATAACACAAGAATTTTATTGTAAACCTTTATATTATTTTATAAAACTTATTAAACCTTAAATTTATATTAAATGTTTCATTATAAACCTTAAATATACAACAATTACAACACATCATTAAGGCTACAATAATTATGTCAGGTCCTAATTTTAGACAGTGTGTATTTAGTCCACAAGTGAGAAACAAGGGAGAGTTCAAAATGTATGTCAAAATGTTCGAAATGTACAAGAGAATTAGATATTTCCTTTACATTCATGTAAAAATGGAATATATTGAGAAACATTGAAGTGTGGCCAATACGTGGTTTATAAATCCTTTGCAATAGCTACAGTGTCAATATCTTGTGTCAACATCGAATTTGAGCGTTGCTCACAAAGTTTGTTGCGAAAACAATACAAAAACAATGAATGTATTATGAATTATGCAAGGGAAATTGGAAAATACGTTGTCATACCAGCAGGTAAAAGAATTAAAAAAACAAAAACTTTTGCAGTTGTGACCTCAATGCACGGAGTAGAATATGATTTTAACTAAATATACGTGATAGGTTGTTTTAAAACGTTTACTAAACCTTATTAGCATTTGTTACAGAGTACTACTGACGTCAATAAACAACAGTAGAAACCGCCAGTACTCTGTAAATAACGCTCTCTTACCGTACTCTTTTGGCATTATATTCGTAATGTACTTCACAGAGAAGACATAAAATAGAATTACAAAGTAATTAAAAAAATAAGTAATTTCAGTTTCATCTGGGCGAGGAAGTACTTGGTGTTACTGGACATAACAACTACTTTGATCATTGGCACGGCGAGTGTAGTGCATGTTATATACCACGTCAGAATTCCTTCTCCGCTGGAACGAGAATCCGGTTCCGAGCTGCACGCCGGTTCGCTTTTTGATATGGAACGTTGTAGCTAGCGAATATGACCTGCACCATTTTAGTGGATACTCATCCATGTTAGTGCGCATAAACCCCGATAAAGCGCCGATCGTTGAGCGGATTGCAGCCCTGAAGTAGGCCACGGAATGATGACCAAGACCTTGGCGCGCAAGCTATCAATATGGCGCGGCACCCAAGAGGAGCTACTCTTTCAGAGGGGCGTCAGTTAGCAATTGAAGAGGGAGATTTATAAGTAATGAATGTACTCACGTAATGTTTACTAAGAATAATAAAAATAACTGAGAAATCGTCGATAAAATTGTCAATTAATGTCTGAGACGAAAGTACCACAAATTGCAATATTAAGTTTACATTTGTTTACTTAAACAATCCATAAAACTCTTGACAACCTATATATTTGAAAACATCGGACTTGATTCAATTCACATTTTTTTCAACGCTATTTTGAGGTGATTATAAAACATGTTCTCAAATCCCAATATATAATAAAACGTCCGATTCTTCAGAGAAGACATGGAGGTGTAAGGTGTTGTCACGATGATCAGCGCTCGGTGCAAAGGAAGTCAGAGCAGGTGGGAAAGTTAAGAGCGGGCAAGTTGAAAGATGGCAGGGTGCTTGTTACGAGGAGAGTAAGATACGGTCGCGGCATTGAGATGACAAACGCAGAATGGCGATGGGAATAGCGGTATCGGAGGAGCAGGGGTGACGTTGGGGTGTAGGGAGTGGCAGGTGGGTGTGAGGGTGGCTGTTAGGGCTGCGAAGACAACCAGGCGATGGGATAGGCAAAGGGAGGCTTGAAGTGACGCCGGCTTTGTAGTGGCCGGGTGCTTGCTTGTTGGCAGAGCATATAGGCTGTCCTCTACGCTTGAGCAGCCTAGCGGTACGGGCAGCCCCAGTGCTGGAGAGTTGGAAAGGAAGAACGCGAGGATCGGGGGCATCAAAAGGAATATTTGAAGAACACAATAACAAGTACGTGATGAATTTCAGGAAACAACGATTAGATGTCAATTGTTTGAACTAAAATTTGCAACATTCTCATATTACACTTTTCAGCATTAATCAAATATTAATTTTTACATGGAAGATTGCCTACATTTTTCTACACGAGCCTTGCCACCAAACTTATAATTTATAAAATACACTGATTTTCTTATTAACTTACATTAAAAAATAAGATTATGTAGATAATTGAGAAAAATTCTTAAAAACATGTTCGTGACGAGGAACTATTCTATATTTCTTCCTTCTCTAACCAGTAATTTAGATAATATCATACTGAAACTCAAGTCAATGCAAGTCGTAATTGGAGTTGAGCATAAACTTCTTGATCGATATGTTTACAGGTTAATCTACAAAAACACGTTGCGCGTCTGTTTGTGTGGTGACACGAGCTTCGTAGAAAGTTGCTTGGCTCCTGTGACATGGAGTCGCCCGCCATTAGACCATCCATCACTTTGGGTTGAGGCCGAGCGACGAGCGGTCGACCAGAGCCGCTGGCGAACAAGCACTCACTGTAGAAGCCCACTATGGAAGCAATGAGTTTATAAAAACTGTGTGATGACTGATATTTCAATCTATCTGCCCGTCCGCCTAAAATCTCTGATCAGCTCTAGCACCTCAACCGTTCAGAAGATTTTCTCTAAAATTCATATTTCGTCACCGATTTAGCCGCACACGAGGTCTTCCTTATTTGAAAATTTCATTTTTGAAGGTACTTTACATAAAGCCCTAAAGAGATTTTCAAACGTTTTGTCAAAAAAGGCTCCAAAATTATTTATATTTTTGTAGGTAGAGAAAAGTATGCTTATAAAAATGGCGCCGAACTAATTTTCGTTGAACTCCCTGAATGTTTGAAAATTGTAAGTTATAAACAATGCGTGAAAGCATGTGATGTAGCACCACTAGTTTATCCACACAATGGCTAATGAAAGTTCTCACATCTGCGATCAGAGGTTTCACTGAAGTAATGAGTTTGAAATTGCGTTGTTTTGGTCTTTGACGTCGGTCCTCAATTAGATTAATTGTCATATCATTCGATGGTTGAATAGCGTTCGAAACCGGATGAAATTGAATTCCGAAATGGAGAAATAAAAATTTGTTTGTAGCATTATATAAAACACTGATGTTAACTAAAGACCTACTATTAGCAATAGTTTGGAGATATACATACAGATCATACTACTGTAACGTAAATTCCTCATTGAATAAAAAGTAAAATGTTTTTTTTATTAATTTCATTGTTATCTGTTTGTGTGAAACTCTCTTAGATTTCCAATAAAACAGATTGTTTCATCCATGTCATACTAACTTGCATATGTTAATAATTTTGTAAATTAAAATTAAAAATATTTCCACCTTTTTTAAGAATATACTCTTACATTGAAATTATAGCCGAGACTCTCGCCAGTGACCAACCTATCTCTGTC